AAAAGAGCATTAAATTCTCTACAAGCCCTGTCAATTTGGCTTTAATACTACATTTGGTTTCCGAGGTATTGAGGCTCAAATTTAGATTTTAGTCAAAATTTTGCTCAAAAGTTCAATCTTGATTTTCTCAAAAACCGTAAATGCTAGCGATTTCAACTAAATACCACTTTAAAGCCCTTATCCAGAGCTATAATTCCTGATAATTTTATTTTAGTACCGCCACTGGTTACCGAGATACTCAGGTTTGAAGCATTGTAAATAAAAATCCAAAGGGGATAACCATAGAAAAAAATGAATTTTTTTATTTTTCAATTTTCCTTAATTCTGACTCCCTAAATCGATAGAGCGAGTCCAAATAACTCAGAAACAACTCTAACATCATTTGAATTTGGAAATTTCAATGAGAAAAAAAATGCAAAAGGAAATCTCATTTTTGGCTCTAAAAATCTTTTGAAATCTTGATACGCTCATGGATAATTGCTCATATTTCCAATAAGATTGGAAGAAATTGCCTATAATTATACATGGTTGAAAAGAGCATTAAATTCTCTACAAGCCCTGTCAATTTGGCTTTAATACTACATTTGGTTTCCGAGGTATTGAGGCTCAAATTTAGATTTTAGTCAAAATTTTGCTCAAAAGTTCAATCTTGATTTTCTCAAAAACCGTAAATGCTAGCGATTTCAACTAAATACCACTTTAAAGCCCTTATCCAGAGCTATAATTCCTGATAATTTTATTTTAGTACCGCCACTGGTTACCGAGATACTCAGGTTTGAAGCATTGTAAATAAAAATCCAAAGGGGATAACCATAGAAAAAAATGAATTTTTTTATTTTTCAATTTTCCTTAATTCTGACTCCCTAAATCGATAGAGCGAGTCCAAATAACTCAGAAACAACTCTAACATCATTTGAATTTGGAAATTTCAATGAGAAAAAAAATCCAGAAGGAAATCTCATTTTTGGCTCTAAAAATCTTTTGAAATCTTGATACGCTCATGGATAATTGCTCATATTTCCAATAAGATTGGAAGAAATTGCCTATAATTATACATGGTTGAAAAGAGCATTAAATTCTCTACAAGCCCTGTCAATTTGGCTTTAATACTACATTTGGTTTCCGAGGTATTGAGGCTCAAATTTAGATTTTAGTCAAAATTTTGCTCAAAAGTTCAATCTTGATTTTCTCAAAAACCGTAAATGCTAGCGATTTCAACTAAATACCACTTTAAAGCCCTTATCCAGAGCTATAATTCCTGATAATTTTATTTTAGTACCGCTACTGGTTACCGAGATACTCAGGTTTGAAGCATTGTAAATAAAAATCCAAAGGGGATAACCACAGAAAAAAATGAATTTTTTTATTTTTCAATTTTCCTTAATTCTGACTCCCTAAATCGATAGAGCGAGTCCAAATAACTCAGAAACAACTCTAACATCATTTGAATTTGGAAATTTCAATGAGAAAAAAAATGCAAAAGGAAATCTCATTTTTGGCTCTAAAAATCTTTTGAAATCTTGATACGCTCATGGATAATTGCTCATATTTCCAATAAGATTGGAAGAAATTGCCTATAATTATACATGGTTGAAAAGAGCATTAAATTCTCTACAAGCCCTGTCAATTTGGCTTTAATACTACATTTGGTTTCCGAGGTATTGAGGCTCAAATTTAGATTTTAGTCAAAATTTTGCTCAAAAGTTCAATCTTGATTTTCTCAAAAACCGTAAATGCTAGCGATTTCAACTAAATACCACTTTAAAGCCCTTATCCAGAGCTATAATTCCTGATAATTTTATTTTAGTACCGCCACTGGTTACCGAGATACTCAGGTTTGAAGCATTGTAAATAAAAATCCAAAGGGGATAACCATAGAAAAAAATGAATTTTTTTATTTTTCAATTTTCCTTAATTCTGACTCCCTAAATCGATAGAGCGAGTCCAAATAACTCAGAAACAACTCTAACATCATTTGAATTTGGAAATTTCAATGAGAAAAAAAATCCAAAAGGAAATCTCATTTTTGGCTCTAAAAATCTTTTGAAATCTTGATACGCTCATGGATAATTGCTCATATTTCCAATAAGATTGGAAGAAATTGCCTATAATTATACATGGTTGAAAAGAGCATTAAATTCTCTACAAGCCCTGTCAATTTGGCTTTAATACTACATTTGGTTTCCGAGGTATTGAGGCTCAAATTTAGATTTTAGTCAAAATTTTGCTCAAAAGTTCAATCTTGATTTTCTCAAAAACCGTAAATGCTAGCGATTTCAACTAAATACCACTTTAAAGCCCTTATCCAGAGCTATAATTCCTGATAATTTTATTTTAGTACCGCCACTGGTTACCGAGATACTCAGGTTTGAAGCATTGTAAATAAAAATCCAAAGGGGATAACCATAGAAAAAAATGAATTTTTTTATTTTTCAATTTTCCTTAATTCTGACTCCCTAAATCGATAGAGCGAGTCCAAATAACTCAGAAACAACTCTAACATCATTTGAATTTGGAAATTTCAATGAGAAAAAAAATCCAAAAGGAAATCTCATTTTTGGCTCTAAAAATCTTTTGAAATCTTGATACGCTCATGGATAATTGCTCATATTTCCAATAAGATTGGAAGAAATTGCCTATAATTATACATGGTTGAAAAGAGCATTAAATTCTCTACAAGCCCTGTCAATTTGGCTTTAATACTACATTTGGTTTCCGAGGTATTGAGGCTCAAATTTAGATTTTAGTCAAAATTTTGCTCAAAAGTTCAATCTTGATTTTCTCAAAAACCGTAAATGCTAGCGATTTCAACTAAATACCACTTTAAAGCCCTTATCCAGAGCTATAATTCCTGATAATTTTATTTTAGTACCGCCACTGGTTACCGAGATACTCAGGTTTGAAGCATTGTAAATAAAAATCCAAAGGGGATAACCATAGAAAAAAATGAATTTTTTTATTTTTCAATTTTCCTTAATTCTGACTCCCTAAATCGATAGAGCGAGTCCAAATAACTCAGAAACAACTCTAACATCATTTGAATTTGGAAATTTCAATAAGAAAAAAAATCCAAAAGGAAATCTCATTTTTGGCTCTAAAAATCTTTTGAAATCTTGATACGCTCATGGATAATTGCTCATATTTCCAATAAGATTGGAAGAAATTGCCTATAATTATACATGGTTGGAAAGAGCATTAAATTCTCTACAAGCCCTGTCAATTTGGCTTTAATACTACATTTGGTTTCCGAGGTATTGAGGCTCAAATTTAGATTTTAGTCAAAATTTTGCTCAAAAGTTCAATCTTGATTTTCTCAAAAACCGTAAATGCTAGCGATTTCAACTAAATACCACTTTAAAGCCCTTATCCAGAGCTATAATTCCTGATAATTTTATTTTAGTACCGCCACTGGTTACCGAGATACTCAGGTTTGAAGCATTGTAAATAAAAATCCAAAGGGGATAACCATAGAAAAAAATGAATTTTTTTATTTTTCAATTTTCCTTAATTCTGACTCCCTAAATCGATAGAGCGAGTCCAAATAACTCAGAAACAACTCTAACATCATTTGAATTTGGAAATTTCAATAAGAAAAAAAATCCAAAAGGAAATCTCATTTTTGGCTCTAAAAATCTTTTGAAATCTTGATACGCTCATGGATAATTGCTCATATTTCCAATAAGATTGGAAGAAATTGCCTATAATTATACATGGTTGGAAAGAGCATTAAATTCTCTACAAGCCCTGTCAATTTGGCTTTAATACTACATTTGGTTTCCGAGGTATTGAGGCTCAAATTTAGATTTTAGTCAAAATTTTGCTCAAAAGTTCAATCTTGATTTTCTCAAAAACCGTAAATGCTAGCGATTTCAACTAAATACCACTTTAAAGCCCTTATCCAGAGCTATAATTCCTGATAATTTTATTTTAGTACCGCCACTGGTTACCGAGATACTCAGGTTTGAAGCATTGTAAATAAAAATCCAAAGGGGATAACCATAGAAAAAAATGAATTTTTTTATTTTTCAATTTTCCTTAATTCTGACTCCCTAAATCGATAGAGCGAGTCCAAATAACTCAGAAACAACTCTAACATCATTTGAATTTGGAAATTTCAATGAGAAAAAAAATCCAAAAGGAAATCTCATTTTTGGCTCTAAAAATCTTTTGAAATCTTGACACGCTCATGGATAGTTGCTCATATTTCCAATAAGATTTAAAGAAATTGCCTATAATTATACATGGTTGGAAAGAGCATTAAATTCTCTACAAGCCCTGTCAATTTGGCTTTAATACTACATTTGGTTTCCGAGGTATTGAGGCTCAAATTTAGATTTTAGTCAAAATTTTGCTCAAAAGTTCAATCTTGATTTTCTCAAAAACCGTAAATGCTAGCGATTTCAACTAAATACCACTTTAAAGCCCTTATCCAGAGCTATAATTCCTGATAATTTTATTTCAGTACCGCCACTGGTTACCGAGATACTCAGGTTTAAAGAATTGCAAATAAAAATCCAAAGGGGTTACCCTTAGAAAAATTTGCAAAAAGCTGAAAATTTTTATTTTTGGATTTTCTTCAATTCTGAGTTTTTATATTAATAGAGCAAATCCAAATTAGGCAGGAATGACTGTAACATCAGTTAAATTCACGAATTGCCACGAGAAAAAAAATCCAAAAGGAAATAATCTCATTTTTGGCATTTGAAATCCTGACATGCTCATGAATAATTGCTCATATCTCCAACTAAAATTGAGCAAACCTATTTAAATCATACATGGTTAAAAAGAGTATTAAATTCTATACAAGTTCTGTAAAATTGGCTCCAATATTGTATTTGGTTTCCGAGGTATTGAGGTTCAAAACTTAACCTTCAAATTTTTTCAAAGCATAAAAACTATTTCCTTAAAACAATTAAAAATATATTAATAAAAGCTAAAACATATACAATACTTATAATACACAGCCTTTTTTTGTAGGTATTTTATTGAACAAAAATGTCCTATTCTATCTTAGGACCCTCATGCTGTTTATTCCTTTTCCCAAATATCTTCATAAGATTCCTCGACATATAATACGGCTTGTCCTTGCCATTATTCCTCTCAGAATCTTCCACTAAAATCAAATTCAATTAACCAAACATTAACAAAAATGCCAAAAAAACTTACAAAAGCACAAGAAAAGTGTATCTACAGCCATACTATAGACGCTGAAGAACAAACTGGCAATCAAATACGTAACAATCATTATAATTATTACTGGAACTTCGCCGTAGTTCAATTGTGAATTATCCATGAAACTGATCATATTGGTGGCGAAGAACAAATAGGCAACAGCCCCTATGCCTACAGTCACCAGTAGTTTACTCAAAAAGAATAGAAAATCTGTAACCTATACTATACATAAGGTATTTGAATCAAAACAAAACAAATTATATACCTTATCCAGGACAAAAACCCTAACAATATTCCTCATTAGCAACATGAAAGCATCTTTGGCACTGCCGCAAAAGTTTTTGCCATGTATTGCACACATAATGTAAGCATTTTTATTGATAAACTTGAGAAAGTTTTCCAGGCACCAGAAAAAGCATTTCAGGCAGCACATTATTGCTTTAGTGATTTCATTATCGTATTTTTTCAGCTTGCGATCCAGATATTCCAAACAGAGCCTTATCATTCGGCAAATGGCTATTATCAACGAACCAAACGCCAAGGTGCCTAAATGATATCTGGAATTGGTTATTAATAAAATATGTTGTTTTTATATATATAGGTACCTGATGGTTCTGTAAAAGGCAGAAGTCAAAGCAAAAAATGGCAAGTGACGTTTTTTCATGGTCCAGTACCATTGGGCAAACACTTGGGCCAGTACCATTTGGCCCAGAGCCGACACAAAAAAGGCCAGCCAAAAGAAGCCGAAGACATTGATGGCTTGCAAATATGGATAATAAGCTTCGTTAGCTATTTTGGCAAATTTACAAGTGGCATTTACACATGTAGGATCTGTGATGGTGAAATTGTTTGGATTACAAGCTGTTTCAACCTGGAATAATAATTCTAATTATTGCTTATATAATTATAGGAATTTCATAATTACAGTCCATCCTGTAGCAGCTCTACATTCTGGATTTATTTGTCTGTATTGGTAAAGGGGTTCTCCGGTGGTTGCTAGAAAAACTCCTACACAAATTGCGTAGGCTACAACAGCAATTTGCATCAGCCAAGGTACTATAGGAAAGAAAAGTACAGATGTTACTGATCCTACAGCCCTAGAAATAGTAAAATTTAGTATTAATTTATTGGTTTTTGATTGATGCATGGTCTTACTTGCTTCCTTCTTTGATCAAAGCAATGGCCAAAACTATTCTCTTCCTCAAGAAAATCAATATCAATAGAATAATGGCCAAAAAGGCTACTACAATTATGAAAATCCCCAAAAATAAGTCTCGTTTAGTTTTGAGGCGGTTAACATCACCGTTTGTTTCGTAGTCTTTTTTCCATTTTTGCCAGGCGACGTAAGAGAAATAGGAAGCTGGAAAAACATTGATTTGCAGTAAAGCTGGGTTGAGCTTATATCCTTGTAGAGTCGGGTTTACACGATCCAAGTGTAATTTATATGAATTTGTAGCTTTTATCAAATTCTAAATGGCCTGTAATTTACAATATTTCCAGATTTATAGTTTTTGAGCAAATTAGGTTTGAAGTTTTTGACAAAATTTAGACTAAAAGTCAACTTTGAGGCTCAATTGCGCATAAACTATCCGAGCTATCGAACTCAATTTTGCACAGATTTATAGAGAATTTAAGGCTCTTTGCAATGATGTATAATTTATTTTAATTTGCTCAAAATTTACCAAAGATGTGGGCAATTGATCATGACCATGTCAGGATTTTGAAAATTTTCCAGAGTCAAAAATAGGATTTTATTTTTATTTTTGTGTCTGCTTAAAATGGCCATTTTGAATTGATATCAGGGTTGTTTTCCACTATTTTTGACCCGCTCTATCGATACATAAAGTCAAAATTGAGCAAAACTTAAAAATAAAAAAATCGAATTTTTCATAAGGGAATTCTGATTTCAAAATATTCAAACCTCAATTGCTCGGTAACCGTTGAGCAAATTGCATTGAAATTTCCAGAATTTGTAGCTTTTATAAAGCTTTAAATGGCCAGTAATTCACAATATTTCCAGATTTCTAGTTTTTGAGCAAATTGAGTTTGAAGTCTTTGACAAAATTTGGACTAAGAGTCAACTTTGAAGCTCAATTGTTTAAAAACTTTCCGAGCTATCGAACTCAATTTTGCACAGATTTATAGAGAATTTAAGGCTCTTTCCAATGATGTATAATTTATTGCAATTTGCTCAAGATTTACCAAAAATATGGGCAATTGATCATGACCATGTCAGGATTTTGAAAATTTTCCAGAGCTAAAAATAAGATTTTATTTTTATTTTTGTGTCTGCTTAAAATTGCCATTTGGAATTGATATCAAGGTGGTTTTCCATTAATTTTGATCCGCTTTATTGATTCATAAAGTCAAAATTGAGCAAAACTCAAAAATAAAAAAATCGAATTTTTCATAAGGGTACCCTTTGAATTCTAATTTCAAAATATTCAAACCTCAATTGCTCGGTAACCGTTGAGCAAATTGCATTAAAATTTCCAGAATTTATAGCTTTTATCAAGTTCTAAATGGCCTGTAATTTACAATATTTCCAGTTTTCTAGTTATTGAGCAAATTGAGTTTGAAGTTTTTGACAAAATTTGGACTAAAAGTCAACTTTGAGGCTCAATTGCTCAAAAACTATCCAAGCTATGGAGCTCAATTTTGCACAGATTTATAGAGAATTTAAGGCTCTTTCCAATAATGTATAATTTATTTCAATTTGCTCAAGATTTACCAAAAATATGGGCAATTGATCATGACCATGTCAGGATTTTGAAAATTTTCCACAGCCAAAAATAGGATTTTCTTTTTATTTTTGTGTCTGCTTGAAATGGCCATTTGGAATTGATATCAGGGTTGTTTTCTACTAATTTTGACCCGCTCTATCGATTCATAAAGTCAAAATTGAGCAAAACTAAAAAAAAAAAAAATCGAATTTTTCATAAGGGTAACCCCTTTGAATTCTGATTTCAAAATATTCAAACCTTAATTGCTCGGTAACCGTTGAGCAAATTGCATTGAAATTTCCAGAATTGGTAGCTTTTATCAAGTTCTAAATGGCCTGTAATTTACAATATTTCCAGATTTCTAGTTTTTGAGCAAATTGAGTTTGAAGTCTTTGACAAAATTTGGACTAAAAGTCAACTTTGAAGCTCAATTGTTTAAAAAGTTTCCGAGCTATCGAACTCAATTTTGCACAGATTTATAGAGAATTTAAGGCTCTTTCCAATGATGTATAATTTATTTCAATTTGCTCAAGATTTACCAAAGAGATGGGCAATTGTTCATTCGACCATGTCAGGATTTTGAAAACGACGCGCCCACAAAAGTCAAAGTAGCACTCTACCATTATCCAACTACACTTGGACCATATTAACCTGGGCTTAACTAATGTTTAATCAACGCACCTGCAGACAAAGCAGCTAAAACTCCACCAATAGATAGCCAAACCATGAAACCAGCAACCCACCTTTGATGGAAAAGAAGTTCAATTACCAAATTAATAAAGTATCCAAGTAAACTAACCTGAGCATCAAGATATAAATGATACAGGCAACAAGTGCAAGGCCTACTCCTAGGAGAATTTTCCACCAAGAGCTCATAATGTCGGCGATTACTTGATCTGCAACCTGAAACCACAATTTACTATGTATAAAATCCAAACATTATTTCCAGTTACCCAAAGCATGCAAAATTACTACACAAGCAAAGCAACAACAACAACAAAAAAAAAACCTTTAAAGAGTGCGTTAGTCGTTTCAATAACCCACAAGCAATGTTAATTTGTGCGTTGAACAATTCTACAGTTTCTTTAGGAAAAACAGCCCTGAGCAATTTTTGTAGGGTGGAATTGTTCACCGAGCCCAACAAGGGAACGCAACGATTTTCGACTGCAACAAACAAACACAAAACATTTATAATAATGATGATTTAAACCTGTTCGGCTTGGGACAATAGTTTTATATTGCTGACGCCCGTAAGTAGTTTGCCCCACAAACTCTCAGCATTGATTGCTTTCTCAATTTCTGCTAGGGTTTCGTTGTTAAGACTACTAGTCAAAGGTATACATCTTTTTTGAACTAAAAGAGGAAATGTTATAGGATTAGTGCCCATTCCCAATAAGAATCATGCAAATTATATTAAACTCAATTAACCTTGTGTAGGTTTGAATCGTTCTTAACTCTAAAAAGACTGAGTGCGTTGTGCACAAACAAATGTACCGGGTCCAGGTACTCTTTGAGACGGCTTATTTCGTCGCCCTCAATTATTGAGGCTATTTTGAGGCGTTTTCTATCGGCCACATTGTAAATGCACCTTTTGAAGACTGAAAGGATTATTGAAGTTGAGTAATCAATTGATTACTTACATTGTTCACTTGGTAAAAACCATGTCGGACAATAGGTTGAGTTGTATTGGTTTGTGGCCCTTTGCTTGTAGGTACAGTAAGGGATTGCGGCAGTTTCGTTTTGGCCAGTGTAAAAGGTTGTACTGGGACAAGTTTCAACGCAAACCTAAGAAAAATTCAGTTATTTTCTTAAGGAAAGTTTGATTGTTAAATACCTGTGTAGTGGGACATCCTAAAAACGGCACTGAAGGGTCAATACACTTGGTAAGATCGAAAAAGAACAAAAAAGGCTTATGTTCGACTAAAGGATCGAGACCGCATCTCAGCCCTGAAGAATCACTTGGAGTTAGTAAAGTTGAAGGGTCGCCTTCTTTTACAGCTAAAAATGCCCTTTTTATTAACAAATAGTTGCAATTAAATGTGTAACTTACCCCAAAAACCTATTGCCGCCCATCCTACTATGAAAACGAGAAAAAATAGTAGGCAAATGACGTCAGTGCATGATCGACGTTTCAGGGGCCCATCAAAAATTGGATCGTATTGGATTTTGTGCCCTTATAATAGAGAAAATACTAACTAAATTGTATCAAATTAAACTAAAACTTACTATTAGCTAAAAATTCACATGTTTCATCGTTCACGGACATTTTTATAATAAATAATATGTACTTACTATAGACATGAGCTTAAGTAGGTAGGTAATCGATTATAAATTAAGTAGGTACCTAAACATGAATGATGGCCCATGTCTAATAAGCAAACATTTAACAAGTGTGTAAACATTGCGACATTCGTTGGTGGTAAAATTTACATAAATAAAACCACATAAACAAAAGGATTTATATTTGGTATTCAAATACATAATTCAATTGGATTAAATGATACATTTTTACACATTTTTTTTAGTGCAATTTGTACCAACCCAATTGCTTTTTGGTGCAACCAAACTTACGGTGATAGGGCCCATTCAGGTTCCATACAAACTACACAAGTCAAATCTTACCTAAATTCTCTTCAGCTTCCGGCACTTGTCGAGCCATCATATGTCTTTGCTATCTCACCTGCAAATAAACTACGTTGTATCCTGGTATAAAACCATAATGAAATCCTCCTTTGCCACAATTATTATCTTATCTTGGTGGATAATAAAATGGATTATTAAAATTATGTAGGAGTCACTTTATTGTTTAAGCCTTATTAGTCATTTTGTGGACTTAATTTAAATGCCCACTATACACTTTGTTTATATGAGGGTAGTACCTAAAACTTTTGCAGCTCTCTATAGTTTCATTAGCTATAATTTTTAATTAATGTTTTATTGATAAAGATAAAAAGTGACTCAGGTACTTTTGCTGATTATTAAAAAACAATACATACAACTGCAGTAAAATCAAGGTTGCACACATAAAATTTGTTGTTTTCAAATGTTGCGAAATTGTGGAAATAGCTACTGAGATTATTAATTATAACAATTTGTTAATTAAATTAGACTATAGCAACAAAAGAGTTTAAAATTATCTTACCGCATAATTTTGAAGTACACAAAAAGTTATGTGTCAATGACTCTGTCAAGTCGCACTAATTAACAAAACAATTAAAAATTAAATTCCAACACTTTTTTTAAACAAGTGCAACTTGGTACGACCTTGCTTGTGGCGGCTACTTTTGTGTATGTTCGAGGTACTTTCACAATGCGTTTGTTACGGTTCCTTTAGGTGGTACCTACTACACTGCGCAAGTGTTTCTTATTTATGGATTATTGATTATGGAATCAACTGCTATTTTTTCACTCTGATATTGTCTAGCTGGAAATATATTTCAATAATAATGTTAATCAATTATTACCATTTTTCTTTCATTAACAAATCCACAATCACATACAAAACTGACTGATAACTAATTGAAAATAGATTGCAGCAGCTTCTGGATGTTGCGTTATAAATAGATACTGGTTTTTTCGGGTCGTTAAACTACCTAATCTATGTGGGAATTCTAGGCCAATGTGTAGGGCAATGGGTATTTTTTTTGCTTGTTCAGGCCTTGTCAAGATTGGATTTTTTTCCTTATCGAAATTTCCAAATTTAAGTGATGTTAGAGCTGAAATTTTCACTAAATCTTAACTCACTGAAAGGGCTATAATAAAAAATTTCACCTGAAACAACATTAAGACTAACTTTTGAGAAAATTTCAACTTTGAAGACATAACTTAGAAACGACAGGATTCTGGATAAAACCATTTTGTAGGCAATTCAGTCCTCTATCCAATGAAACTTGATTCATTGAAATCGGTCCAGGAATTCCAGAGTTATGGCCCATTTAATAAGACTATGTCAGACTGGGAAAAGTGTCCCTAATAATTTTCTATTTTATTTTTTTTCCAGGCTTAGACGATGTCCTACGGGAAAATGCCAAAGAAGTTTTCTGCTTGTTTTGACCTCCTCTATACAACAAATTTTTTGTTTTTCCGAAATTCGAAAATTTCGATTTTCCATTTTTTTCATAAGAAACCTATAAAAGAACAAAGCAAAAACTCCAGGAAAAACTGAAAATTGATGGGGGTAAAGTGGGTTCCGACATTTCTTTGAACGTCCTTTATGACGTACTGAAAGAAAATCCGGGAAATTTTGACTTTGATTTTTTGGCCGAAAAAAAACCCTGGATGAATGATTTTAAAACTTCCAAGTGGAATATCTCGGTAATGGTGAGTCGTAGAGAAACAACTCACTGAGCTATTTTTGTAGATCTCGTCGAGTTCTACAAGCTGCCCATGAACAGTTTTCCTCTATGATCTACCATTACGGAACTATGGCTGGTTGAAGTTTCAATTTTCGTAATTTTCAAGAGTTGCCTGTGCTATAGGTATAGGGGCAAAAACCAACGTCTAAATTTCGGAATTTCAAGATAGCCATTTTGTAGAGGAGATCCAAAAAAGTCCCAAAATCAACTTTTTTTTCCTTAATTTTTCGATTTTCCAAGAATTTTCCAAGTTTTTTTAAATTAAATGAAGCCTCTTGTAAATTAATTTTTTCCTGGAAAACTAACGAAGGAAAAATTTTGAAATTTTTACAAGATAAAGAGGAGAGTGAGGAGTTCATTCTAGAAAAATTTCAAAATTTTCCGGTGGAAAATCACTCCAGGAAAAATTCCAGAAAATTTACTTATTTAAACAAAATTAAGAAACATTTACCTCTTGCATTTTATTTTTTTTCTGGAAAACTGGCAAAGGGAAAATTTTGAAATTTTTCCAGGAAAAAGAGGAAAGTGCAAAGCTCATTGTAAGAAAATTTCAAAATTTTCCAATGAAAAATGACTCCAGGAAAAATTCTGGAAAATTGACTTATTTAAGCAAAATTAAGGAAAATTCACCTCTTGCATTTTAATTTTTTTCTGGAAAACTGGCAAAGGGTAAATTTTGAATTTTTTCCAGGAAAGAGAGGAAAGTGTAAAGCTCATTATAGGGAAATTTCAAAATTTTCCAATGAAAAATGGCTCCAGGAAAAATTCTGGAAAATTGACTTATTTAAGAAAAATTCACCTCTTGCATTTTAATTTTTTTCTGGAAAACTGGCACAGGGAAAATTTTGAAATTTTGCCACGAGAGAGAGGAAAGTATGGAGCTCATTATAGGAAAATTTCAAAATTTTCCAATGAAAAATGACTCCAGGAAAAATTCTGGAAAATGGACTTCTTTAAGAAAAATTCACCTCTTGCATTTGAATTTTTTTCTGGAAAACTGGCACAGGGAAAATTTCGAAATTTTCCCACGAGAGAGAGGAAAGTATGGAGCTCATTATAGGAAAATTTCAACATTTTCCAATAGAAAATGTCTCCAGGAAAAAATCCAGAAAATTGACTTATTTAAGCAAAATTAAGGAAAATTCACCTCTTGCATTTTAATTTTTTCCTGGAAAACTGGCAAAGGGAAAATTTCGAAATTTTTCCACGAGAGAGAGGAAAGTATGGAGCTCATTATAGGAAAATTTCAAAATTTTCCAATGAAAAATGACTCCAGGAAAAATTCTGGAAAATGGACTTATTTAAGAAAAATTCACCTCTTGCATTTTATTTTTTTCCTAGAAAACTGGCACAGGGAAAATTTCGAAATTTTCCCACGAGAGAGAGGAAAGTATGGAGCTCATTATAGGAAAATTTCAACATTTTCCAATAGAAAATGACTCCAGGAAAAAATCCAGAAAATTGACTTATTTAAGCAAAATTAAGGAAAATTCACCTCTTGCATTTTAATTTTTTCCTGGAAAACTGGCAAAGGGAAAATTTCGAAATTTTTCCACGAGAGAGAGGAAAGTATGGAGCTCATTATAGGAAAATTTCAACATTTTCCAATAGAAAATGACTTCAGGAAAAAATCCAGAAAATTGACTTATTTAAGCAAAATTAAGGAAAATTCACCTCTTGCATTTTAATTTTTTTCTGGAAAACTGGCAAATGGAAAATTTTGAAATTTTTCCAGGAAAGAGAGGAAAATGTAAAGCTCATTATAGGAAAATTCCAAAATTTTCCAATGAAAAATGACTCCAGGAAAAATTCTGGAAAATGGACTTATTTAAGAAAAATTCACCTCTTGCATTTTAATTTTTTTTCTGGAAAACTGGCAAAGGGAAAATTTCGAAATTTTCCCACGACAGAGAGGAATGTATGGAGCTCATTATAGGAAAATTTCAAAATTTTCCAATGAAAAATGACTCCAGGAAAAGTTCTGGAAAATTGACTTATTTAAGAAAAATTCACCTCTTGCATTTTAATTTTTTTCTGGAAAACTGGCAAAGGGAAAATTTCGAAATTTTCCCACGAGAGAGAGGAAAGTATGGAGCTCATTATAGGAAAATTTCAAAATTTTCCAATGAAAAATGACTCCATGGAAAATTCTGGAAAATTGACTTATTTAAGAAAAATTTACCTCTTGCATTTTATTTTTTTTTTGGAAAACTGGCAAAGGGAAAATTTTGAAATTTTTCGAGGAAAAAGAGGAAAGTGTAAAGCTCATTATAGGAAAATTTCAAAATTTTCCAATGAAAAATGACTCCAGGAAAAGTTCTGGAAAATTGACTTATTTAAGAAAAATTCACCTCTTGCATTTTAATTTTTTTCTGGAAAACTGGCAAGGGGAAAATTTCGAAACTTTACCACGAGAGAGAGGAAAGTATGGAGCTCATTATAGGAAAATTTCAAAATTTTCCAATGAAAAATGACTCCAGGAAAAATTCTGGAAAATTGACTTATTTAAGAAAAATTCACCTCTTGCATTTTAATTTTTTTCTGGAAAACTGACAAAGGGAAAATTTCGAAATTTTCCCACGAGAGAGAGGAAAGTATGGAGCTCATTATAGGAAAATTTCAAAATTTTCCAATGAAAAATGACTCCAGCAAAAATTCTGGAAAATTGACTTATTTAAGAAAAATTTACCTCTTGCATTTTATTTTTTTTCTGGAAAACTGGCAAAGGGTAAATTTTGAAATTTTTCCAGGAAAGAGAGGAAAATGTAAAGCTCATTATAGGAAAATTTCATAATTTTCCAATGAAAAATGACTTCAGGAAAAGTTCTGGAAAATTGACTTATTTAAGAAAAATTCACCTCTTGCATTTTAATTTTTTTCTGAAAAACTGGCAAGGGGAAAATTTCGAAATTTTCCCACGAGAGAGTGGAAAGTATGGAGCTTATTATAGGAAAATTTCAAAATTTTCCAATAAAAAATGACTCCATGAAAAATTCTGGAAAATTGACTTATTTAAGAAAAATTTACCTCTTGCATTTTATTTTTTTTCTGGAAAACTGGCAAAGGGTAAATTTTGAAATTTTTCCAGGAAAGAGAGGAAAATGTAAAGCTCATTATAGGAAAATTTCATAATTTTCCAATGAAAAATGACTTCAGGAAAAGTTCTGGAAAATTGACTTATTTAAGAAAAATTCACCTCTTGCATTTTAATTTTTTTCTGAAAAACTGGCAAGGGGAAAATTTCGAAATTTTCCCACGAGAGAGTGGAAAGTATGGAGCTTATTATAGGAAAATTTCAAAATTTTCCAATAAAAAATGACTCCATGAAAAATTCTGGAAAATTGACTTATTTAAGAAAAATTTACCTCTTGCATTTTATTTTTTTTCTGGAAAACTGGCAAAGGGTAAATTTTGAAATTTTTCCAGGAAAGAGAGGAAAATGTAAAGCTCATTATAGGAAAATTTCATACTTTTCCAATGAAAAATGACTTCAGGAAAAGTTCTGGAAAATTGACTTATTTAAGAAAAATTCACCTCTTGCATTTTAATTTTTTTCTGGAAAACTGACAAAGGGAAAATTTCGAAATTTTCCCACGAGAGAGAGGAAAGTATGGAGCTCATTATAGGAAAATTTCAAAATTTTCCAATGAAAAATGACTCCAGGGAAAATTCTGGAAAATTGACTCATTTAAGAAAAATTTACCTCTTGCATTTTATTTTTTTTCTGGAAAACTGGCAAAGGGAAAATTTTGAAATTTTTCCAGGAAAAAGAGGAAAGTGTAAAGCTCATTATAGGAAAATTTTAAAATTTTCCAATGAAAAATGACTCCAGGAAAAGTTCTGGAAAATTGACTTATTTAAGAAAAATTCACCTCTTGCATTTTAATTTTTTTCTGGAAAACTGGCAAAGGGAAAATTTCGAAATTTTTCCACGAGAGAGAGGAAAGTATGGAGCTCATTATAGGAAAATTTAAAAAATTTTCAATGAAAAATGACTCCAGGAAAAATTCTGCAAAATGGACTTATTTAGGAAAAATTCACCTCTTGCATTTTAATTTTTTTCTGGAAAACTGGAAAAGGGTAAATTTTGAAATTTTTCCAGGAAAGAAAGGAAAATGTAAAGCTCATTATAGGAAAATTTCAAAATTTTCCAATGAAAAATGACTCCAGGAAAAATTCTGGAAAATGGACTTATTTAAGAAAAATTCATCTCTTGCATTTTATTTTTTTTCTAGAAAACTGGCAAAGGGAAAATTTTGAAATTTTTCCAGGAGAAAGAGGAAAATGTGGAGCTCATTATAGGAAAATTTCAAAATTTTTTCAGAAGTTGAAACTCCACCTGAAGCAAACGTGGTTAATTTTTGGGAAAATTTCAACTTTGAAGATCTATAACTTGGCAACTAGATAATTCTGGATAAGGCCATTTTGTAGAAAATTTAATCTTCTTTTGAATGAAACTTGATTCATTGAAATCGGTCTAGGCGTTCCAGAGTTATATCCGATTTAATAAGACCATGTCAGGCTGGAAAAGCCTCGTCCCTATGGATTTTTGTTTAATTTTTTTCCAGGCTTAGGAGACGTCCTACGGGAAAATGCCAAATAGCTTTTCTGCTTGTTTTGACCTCCTCTATACAACGAAATTTTTGTTTTTACAAAATTCGAAAATTTCGATTTTCCATTTTTTTCATAAGAAACCTATAAAGGAACAAAGCAAAAACTCCAGGAAAAACTGAGAATTGAGGGGAGAAAAGTGGGTTCCGACATTTTTCTGAACGTCCTCTATGACGTCATGAAAAAAAATCCGGGGAATTTTGACTTTGATTTTTTTGCCTCAATTTTTCCGATTTCCTAAGAATTTTCACCATTTTGTGGCAATTCAACACCCCTTTATTAAATTGGCTATAACTTTTTTGTCTTTCAATAGATTTCTTTGAATTATGTCTTATTCGATAGAGGATTAAATTGTCTACAAGTAGGTTTTTTTCAACAATTTCGATACTTGTCCCGTTTTAGAGTTATCAGCCCCTAAAGTTCAAAGTTCTAAGGAAATGTGCTGCAAATGTTCTATTTCGATAAATGTCAGTTGTAGACAAATATTTTATTGAATTTTCTTGTAGAACTCATCAAAATAATCATCTCTTATCTGGAAAGTTTTTCTCTACAAACTGTAGTTATCGAGATCACGATTACGTAGTCACAATAATAGTAGGTACCTACTTGATAATTTTGTTTCTTGAATAAACTTACTCACGAAACATTGTGGTTTTATTCAGAAATTCTATAGTGTAATCATTTCAGTACTTTTGCCTGAGTACTACTAATTTGCCCTTGATATTTTCATTACCAATGCACTAACTAGAAAGTCAACAAATGTGTATTTAATTAAAATGTTTCAATTTGTGTAAATCATGGAAGAGGATTTGTACGTAATACAAAATTTGCACGGTTTAATAAGGCCACATTTGCCTTGCGATCAATCTAGGATTTTGGCTGTGAAGTATTCTAAGTTTGGCACTGATGATTATGGATTAAGGATTTTAAAGTAAGTTGTTTTATGTCTAAATGTTAGGATTAATAGTTGTTTGAATAGGGTTTTAGTTGAACTAGTGAATACTACAACAGGTGAAGACTGGATCTTAGAGGCTTTAGCTAAAGTTTTACCCAGGCATTGTCCGGATTTAGTAAAGGCAAGATTTGCTAGAGAGATTGGTGTGCATACTTCAATACAAAATACTATAGATTTGTTTCTTAGAGAAAAAGGTTTATTTTGATTTTATTGGTACTCCATCCAGATTTAAAAAAACAACTTATTTGTAGGTGATAAAGCTGATTTTTTTGCTTGTTCATTTGGAGGCAGATTGAATTTGAATGGTAACAAGGAAATTGATAATAATGCAGTACTAGTATTGGAAGATTGTGAAGCTAGTGGTAAGAAATCACATACCCAAGTAAGTGTAATAGTAAAACCCTTTTTTTTCTAGTATGTGGCTCATCTATATATACACTGATGGATACAAAAATCGGATTTAATTTAGAAACTACTCAAGCAATTCTAAAATCCCTTGCCAAATTCCACACGAGCACAATAGCATTAAAGCTGCAAAACCCTGAAGAATTCAACACCAAAATACTGTCAAATTTGCCTCAAATTGACGAACAGCAAAGATTTTCCATTGAAATCATCGAAAATGTTAGGGAATCTTGGTCTACGTTTTGTCATGGAAATCTACAAATCAAAAATATCCTCATTAGAAACGCAGAAATCAAATTTATAAACTTCCAAGAGTGCCAATACAATTCACCTCTAACAGATGTATTGTATTTCCTCTTTTCCAGTGTCCAATTGGAGGTTTTGCACCAACACTTGGACAATTTAATTGAGTTATACTTTACAAATTTCCATTTATTCTTAAGGCAATTCAACAACGACAATAATAGTAATTTTTCCAGGCACTCATTTAATCAAGAATTAAAAACTACAGCCTCAAAATACCAGCTATTTTATAAGACTTTAAATGTTGAGTTGGGGAAAGAATTTGATAAACTAATTAACAAATAAATCCGTGTGGTTCAAAATTGCAGTTGTTGTTTTTTCCACCTTCTACTTTAACTCCAAACCATCTCCAACCAAAACAACCTTCATCTGCACAAACAATTTCAATTGGTATTGCATTTTTGGTTACACTACCAGTGACGTCAACTAATATTAAATCTCTTATTGGTACATTATTTCTGGGCTCTTGTGCTTCAAATGTGGCATTTTTTGGTGGGCTGTTTTTGTAGTTTTGTTCAATAAGAATACCATTATATTGGATATCTTTTATGGTAATATTACTATAAATTACCCCAGTAATATTACCAAAGCCACCATCAATGTGGGTTTTTATATGAATACCATTTCTACCACCATCCAAGATGGAATTTGAGAAACTTACATTTCTAATGGTGTTTAATGCTACAGAATCATTACTAAAGCCTACTGAAATGCTTAAACCATGACTCCCATGGCAATATAAGTTTGAAACTGAGATATTTGAACCTAAAACAAGTTTACTTATTTATAAATACATAACAAATAAAAATTCTAAGTTACCACATCTCAAAGCAACACAATCATCTTGATTATAAACAACCGAATCCCTGATTACAACATTAGTAGAATTCCAAACATCAAAAGCGTCAGTGTTGTGACCTTCCTGGCCTTTTGGGGCAATACCAGGATCTCCCAATGAATCATCTATGAACCAATTTGCAAATTCAACCCTATCAGAATTGGTTATTTGTACGACATCTTTAGGTGTGTTTATAATACGAATGTCTCTAAAAATAGAGCCTCCAAATGCCTGAATAGTGAAAAATTGAGGCTTTGAATTGCTCCAGCCCCCTTGGCCGTCCCAATAAGATTGGCCTAAACCATCTAGGACAGAATCTATAATAATAAACGAATTATTTTAAAATAGTTGTTTAAATTCAAAAATTCTTACTAGATTCTCCTCTTACAATAATTCCAGTGCCATTGATGGTAACTAAAGGCCCATCCCAATGTTTGAAACCAAAGGAAATGTTGCCCCTAAAAACCACTTCAGCCTTATCTGTTAAGTTTAGTTTTAGCGTCAAACCTGCTGGCACGTGTAAATTGTCCAGGATTATTTGTGGGCATTTTAAGGCTTCTTCGACATCTTCGAATTTTGTTACTATACATTGGGCACTAAAGTGAATTGCGATTAGGATAACAAAAGCGATTTGCCTCATGGTTGAAACGAAAATGGATTCTAGTTGTACGGGGTTTTATCAATTTTTAATTGGATTTTCAAGTATTGATAAGATTAAGTTTAGTTTTAGAAGAGGCAAAGGATCATACCTACAACAAACTCAATGAGGAACTGTGAAGGCCTTGTCGTTAATGGTTAATTTTGATCCGATCTTAATTAGACTTAAATTGAAGCCAATTTGCCAGTTTTCCAGGAAAAAATTAAAATGTGAGTGGATGATTTTACCATAATTTTGCTTATAAAAGTCAATTTTCTGGAATTTTTCCTGGAGTGATTTTTCACTGGAAAATTTTGAAATTTTCCTATAATGAGCTCCTGACTTTTCTCGTTCTCCTGTAAAAAATTCACAATTTTCTCTTTGCCAGTTTTCCAGGAAAAAATTGAAATGTGAGAGGGTGATTTTACCACAATTTTGCTTATAAAAGTCAATTTTCTGGAATTTTTCTTGAAGTGATTTACCACCGGAAAATTTTGAAATTTTCCTATAACGAGCTCCTCACTCTCTTCTTTATCTTGTAAAAATTTCAAAATTTTCCCTTTGTTAATTTTCCAGAAAAAAATTAATTTACAAGAGGCTCCATTTAATTTAAAAAAACTTGGAAAATTCTTGGAAAATCGGAAAATTAAGAAAAAAAAAGTTGGTTTCGGGACTTTTTGGGATCCCCTCTACAAAATGGCTATTTTGAAATTCCGAAATTTTGACGTTGGTTTTTGCCACCTTGTTTCACCCTGTATCTTTTAGCAGGTGGTTGGAAATCTGTTAAGAACTGGAAATTAAATAGCAATTAGAGGATCGTTCCACTCCTGAAAATTTGAACAAAATCGGCTTGCTAGATTTTGAGTTATAGCCTTTCAAAAAGTGACCAAAAATTGGGGTGTTCGAGTTCGATTGACGCGTAGTTTAGATGAAACTAACTTTTTAGAAAATTTCAAATTTGAAGACTTATAACTTAGAAACAGTAGGATTCTGGAAATTCTGGATAAAACCGTTTTGTAGGCAAATCAATCCTCTATCCAATGAAACTTGATTCATTGAAATCGGTCCAGGCATTCCAGAGTTATGGCCCATTTAATAAGACTATGTCAGACTGGAAAAAGTTTCCCTAATAATTTTCTATTCTATTTTTTTTTCAGGCTTAGACGACGTTCTACAGGAAAATGCCAAAGAGGTTTTCTGCTTGTTTTGACCTCCTCTATACAACGAAATTTTTGTTTTCTCGAAATTCGAAAATTTCGATTTTCCATTTTTTTCATAAGAAACCTATAAAAGAACAAAGCAAAAACTCCAGGAAAAACTGAGAATTGAGGGGGCAAAAATTGGGTTCCGACATTTCTCTGGATGTCCTCTATGACGTCATGAAAAAAAATCCGGGAAATTTTGACTTTGATTTTTTCGCTGAAAAAAAATCCTGGGCTTTATATCGATTTTAAATCTTCCAAGTGGAATATCTTGGAAATGGTAAGTCGTAGAGGAACAACTCACTGAGCTTTTTTTGTAGATCTCCTCGAGTTCTACAATCTGCCTAATAACAGTTTTCCTCTATGACTCACCGTTACTGAACTATGGCTGGTTGAAATTTCAATTTTCGTCATTTTCAAGAGTTTCCTGTGCTATTGGTATAGGGGCAAAAATCAACGTCAAAATTTCGGAATTTCAAGATAGCCATTTTGTAGAGGGGAACCCAAAAAGTCCCAAAACCAACTTTTTTTGCCTTAATTTTCCGATTTTCCAAGAATTTTCCAATTTTTTTTTTAAATAAATGCACCCTCTTTGTGATTTTTTTTTTTCGGAAAACTATCCAAGGAAAAATGATGAAATTTTCTGAAAAGAAAGAGGAAAGTAGAAATATCATTATAGGAAAATTTCAAAATTTTCCAGGAAATCACTCCAGGAAAAATCCTGAAACATTAACTTTTTTAAGCAAATTTAAGGAAAATTCACCCTATTACATTTTAATTTTTTTCTGGAAAACTGGTAAAGGAAAAAAATTGAAAACTTTCCAGGAGAAAGAGGAAAGTAGGAAGATTATTATAGGAAAATTTCAAAATTTCCCAATGAAAAGTAGGTTTTAGGTACCTAACTCCAGGAAAAGCTCTGAAAAAATAATTTGATATGGTCCCATCAAATGGTTCTTAACTCTGAAACGTCTGGACCAATTTGGATGAATTTTGTTTCATTTGGAAGAGGATTAAATTGCTTACATAATGGCCCTAATTTTCCAATTTTCCAACACAAATTTTCCGTATCAGCGCCATCTATTAGTGGATGGCATAAAGTTGCAGATTACAGAATTCTGTAACATAAGGATTTGGTTTCAATGTAAATTAAGGTAATTATTATCGTTTTAGGCAATTTTAATCAATAAATAATTGAATAATTGACAAAATATTCAAAATTTTGGACCAAATTGTTAGGGGCCAAAAGTGCAAATTACAAATTTCTGTAATTATAATTAAATGCTTTTATGAACAAATAATGTTCAATTATTGCCAAATAAGATTATTTTAGACGATTTCCGATTAGTTAGATTAACAAAATTGATTAATTATCGAATAAAATGTAAAAATTCATCAACAAAGTTGCTGGCGCCATCTATTAACGAACAGCCAAAACTTTAATGAAACTAATTCAATTTTCATGCAAATGACGCTTAATTACGTTTAGTTAATAATCAATAAACAAATATTAATTGAAAAAAGCATTAAAATTAACTAATTAGTACTTAGATTTGCATAAAATCTCCAACTGTCCAAACTTGAAAATTGCAGATTTCTGTAACAATAATCAATCGATTTATAAGAGAATATTGATTTATTATTAATCAAAAGTAATAAATATGGACATATAAAGCAAGTAATCAATGGAAAAACTATAGAAATTAATAATTAATTCGAAAAACTAATTATTTAAACTCTCAGCGCCATCTATCAACAAGCGGCCAAAGTTGCCAATTACAGATTCTTGTAATGGTAATTAATTGATTTTAATGCAAAATAAGTTAATTAATATTGTTTTAGGCAATTAACATTAGGAATAAATCGTTACAACCAATAAAAGAATTCATAAAATATGCATATTTTCCAACAAAATGGCCGGGGGCCAAAAAATGCGAATTACAGATTCCTGTCATAATAGCTCTAGAAATTTTCAATTTTTAGTTAGATTGTTGATTATTAGATGGCGCCACTAATAAAATTATTAAAATTATTTAAATAATTAAGAAAAATTGTTTATTTTCAATGCAATTAGGCTCATTAAAATCCTCTATCGAATGGAACATGATTCGTTCAAATCGATCAAAGCATTCCAGAGTAATGGCCGATTAATTTTCCGATTTGAATATGAAAATTAAGGAATTTTCAAATTTGAAAGCCTATAACTAGGAAACTGGGAAAATCTGGAAATTCTGGATAAAACTATTTTGTAGCAAATTTAATCATCTTTCAAATAAAGCATGATTCATTGAAATCGATCCAGGCGTTCCAGAGTTATGACTAATTTAATAAGACCATGTCAGGCTGGAAAAGCCTTCCTATAGATTTTCATTTTTATTTTTTCCAGGCTTAGGAGACATCCTACGGAAAAATGTCTAATAGCTTTTCTGCTTGTTTTCACCTCCTCTATACACTGAAATATTTGTTTTTTCAAAATTCGGAAAATTTTGATTTTCCATTTTGTGGGGTAGGTATAGAAGAGGCCCGGAAAATCCTGGAAAAACGGAAAATTAAGGGGAAAAAAGTGGGTTCCGACATTTCTCTGGATGTCCTCTATGACGTCATGAAAAATCCGGGAAATTTTGACTTTGATTTTTTTGCCGAAAAAAAAATCCTGGGTCCAATGATTTTAAATCTTCTAAGTGGAATATCTTGGAAATGATAAGTCGTAGAGGAACAACTCACTGAGCTTTTTTTGTAGATCTCATCGAGTTCTACAAGCTGCCCATGAACAGTTTTTCTCTATGACCTACCATTACGGAACTATGGCTGGTTGAAGTTTCAATTTTCGTCATTTTCAAGAGTTGCCTGTGCTATAGGTATAGAGGGGCAAAAACCAACGTCAAAATTTCGAGATTTCAAGATAGCCATTTTGTAGAGGGGATCCCAAAAAGTCCCAAAACCAACTTTTTTTCCCTAAATTTTCGGATTTTCCTAGACTTTTCCAGAGTTATTTAAATTAAATGCAGCCTCTTGTAAATTAATTTTTTTCTTGAAAACTATCCAAGAGAAAATTATGAATATTTTTATAGAGAAAGAGGAAGGTGAGAAGCTCATTCTAGGAGAATTTCAAAATTTTCCAGTGAAAATTCAGGCTGATCAACCCACTAATAATAAAGTTACGAATTTTCTAAATTAGGCAAAAATGTATACATTGACAAGCCTCTATTTTGGAATTTTTACCTCAAAAACTATCGAGAGCGGGGCGATGAAACTTTGAGGCTCCATTCTTGAGGGTTTGAGGTAAAACATACTAAAAATTCAAGCTGATCAACCCACTAATAATAAAGTTACGACTTTTCTAAATTAGGCAAAAATGTATACATTGACAAGCCTCTATTTTGGAATTTTTGCCTCAAAAACTATAGGGAGCGGGGTAATGAAACTTTGAGGCTCTATTCTTGAGAGTTTGAGGTAAAACATACTAAAAATTCATTCTGATCAACGCACTAATAATAAAGTTACGAATTTTCTAAATTAGGCAAAAATGAATACATTGACAAGCCTCTATTTTGCAATTTTTACCTCAAAAACTATTAAGGGCATATAGATGAAACCTTGAGGCTCTATTGTTAAAGATTTGAGGTGAAACATACTAAAAATTCAAGCTGATCAACCCACTAATAATAAAGTTACGAATTTTCTAAATTAGGCAAAAATGTATACATTGACAAGCCTCTATTTTGGAATTTTTACCTCAAAAACTATAGAGAGCGGGGTAATGAAACTTTGAGGCTCTATTCTTGAGGATTTGAGGTAAAACATACTAAAAATTCAGGTTGATCAACCCACTAATTATAAAGTTGCGTTATAGGCTTCTTATGAAAAAAATGGAAAATCGAAATTTTCGAATTTCGAAAAAAATAAATTTTTTTTGTATAGAGGAGGTCAAAACAAGCAGAAAATCTCTTTGGCATTTTCTCGTAGACATCGTCTAAGCCTGGAAAAAAATAAAATAGAAAATTATTAGGGAAACTTTCCCCAGCCTGACATGGTCTTATTTAATGGGCCATAACTCTGAAACGCCTGGACCGATTTCAATGAATCATGTCTTATTCGATAGAGGATACAATTGTCTACCAAGAGATATTATTTTGAAAAAACGATAGTTGTCTTTTTTTTATGTTATCACCCTTCAAAGTTGAAACTGTCTAAAAAATCTGCTGTAAACATCTAGACAACTTTTATCTGGAAAGCTCTCTCCTACAAACATCAACGACAAAAGGTGGTATCCATTATCCATTACGTCCATTAGTTATATTATACGCTTTGAAGTTGCAAAGAGCGCGTCGCGAACAAGAAATTTGCGTAATGAGATTTACAGGCCAGGATTCGCCCCGAGCATAAACACCAGGGAAAATTACAAGGATTTTTCTTTAAAGCCGGTCCATAATCAGACTAGTTTATAAACGCAAGTCTAAATGAAAAAAGGCCTCTTTTGTTCTATAAGGGAACAATGGACCATCTACATCCCTCTACAACCCAGTAGGCAATTTGTATAAAAATATCATGAAGAGGTAATAATAAAGTAATGAAAAAACCTGGCATTGTTTCAAGGAAAAAATGATGTAGGTATATGCAATCCTAATTAATATTTTATTCTATAAATTAGCTGTACATAATTAAAAACAAAAAATTACGTATTATGTCCATGATGATGATTAATCAAATTATTATTATTATTATTATTATTATTATGACAAACATCTTCTGGTTTTTTGCCCATAGATAAATCGTCTGGAAGTCCTGGAGATAGATCTTGAGGACTGGGAGAACTTCTAACGGGAGAACATGGACAAGCACCTGGTGGTGGAGGAGGCAAAGCAGCTGGTGCTATTTGATTGTCCATGGGCGGTAGAAGACTGTTGGGAGGTCTACCTACAATAAGAATTCTTAAATCAACATCATTTTTATGGAATTTGTATAGATTACCTGGCACTATTAGTTGTGGTGAGGCCATGCCTAAACATCTCATCCTCCAAGCGTCTTGCAGCAACTGTAGCCTGGCTTGTTTACGCCATTTGGCTCGGCGATTTTGGAACCAGACCTAAATATTATTAATAAAATCATTGTAAATAAATCTGTAATTATTTACTTGTACTCTGGCCTCAGACAAGCTGATCCTTAAAGCAACTTCCTCTCTTAAAAACACATCAGGATAGTGGGTTTTCTGAAACAAGGCCTCAAGTTCTTGGAGTTGTTGAGGACTAAAAGTGGTGCGATTTCTTCTTTGCCTTCTTCTGCCGAACATGTACTCGGTGAGTAGATCGCTTGGAAGCGGAGATAGATAAGGACCAGCCATCGTTTGCACTGACCGAAACACCGTACAAAACTAAAACCAACAATCGGTTAAGTTTTGATAAGTATAGGGGATGACGACGCTCCACCCTCTGCGCTTTATTTGGGGGCGTCGCGACGCCGGCGTTCTCGACGCGTCTTTAATACGATAATGCTTTTATTGGTCGGGGCCCTTTTGTTTTCCGATTCTCATTGGTTTAATACGGGAGTTTGTTTTCTTTTGGAGTTCTGGATGCGATTTCCTTAGTGTTACAGAGTGTTGGAAAATTAGGGAAATTGATGGTATGGAAGAGAGAGCTTAATCTGGAAGCTGTAGAGTGCCAATGTAAACCAACAGATCATGATGATTACATTACTAGGCTTTGAGATTTTATATGAAGTGGTTCAACATGGAAGAAGGCAAGAGTTACCATAAGCGGACAACGCCTGGTCATTTCTGCGAAAGGCTGAAATACCTTGAAGGAGCACAGCTAACACCCCAAGAGGTAGGCACTTTACCACCTGAAAAGCTGGGTTTCTACCTACATCCTGGTCATATCTCAAGATAACTGTTTAAAATATTGAAATCAAACCTGTTTTATCTTGTGAAGCATCCAATTCTGATTCAGAATCATGAAATTCAAATTCAAATTTATAGAGTAATAACTTCTCCCAATCAAATTTCAACTTTAGGAGAACCTGGAATGGAATTTCTACACTTTGAAGGCTCCATATCTCAAGAACTGTTCGAAATATTGAAATCAAACCTGTTTTATCTTGTGAAGCATCTAATTTTGATTCAGTATCATCAACTTTAAATTCAAATTTGTAAAGTAATCACTTCTGCCAATCAAATTTAAACTCTAGTAGTGCCTGACATGGGATTTCCACACTTTGGAAGCTCATATCTCAAGAACTGTTCGAAATATTGAAATCAAACCTGTTTTATCTTGTGAAGCATCCAATTCTGATTCAGTCATGAAGTTCAAATTCAAATTTATAGAGTTATAACTTCTCCCAATCAAATTTCAACTTTAGGAGAGCCTGGAATGGGATTTTCACACTTTGGAAGCTCATATCTCAAGAACTGTTCGAAATATTGAAATCAAACCTGTTTTATCTTGTGAAGCATCCAATTCTGATTCAGAATCATGAAGTTCAGATTCAAATTTATAGAGTAATAACTTCTCCCAATCAAATTTCAACTTTAGGAGAGCCTGGAATGGGATTTTCACACTTTGGAAGCTCATATCTCAAGAACTGTTCGAAATATTGAAATCAAACCTGTTTTATCTTGTGAAGCATCCAATTCTGATTCAGAATCATGAAGTTCAGATTCAAATTTATAGAGTAATAACTTCTCCCAATCAAATTTCAACTTTAGGAGAGCCTGGAATGGGATTTTCACACTTTGGAAGCTCATATCTCAAGAACTGTTCGAAATATTGAAATCAAACCTGGTTTTATCTTGTGAAGCATCCAATTCTGATTCAGAATCATGAAGTTCAGATTCAAATTTATAGAGTAATAACTTCTCCCAATCACATTTCAACTTTAGGAGAGCCTGGAATGGGATTTTCACACTTTGGAAGCTCATATCTCAAGAACTGTTCGAAATATTGAAATCAAACCTGTTTCATCTTGTGAAGCATCCAATTCTGATTCAGAGTCATGAAGTTCAAATTCAAATTTATAGAGTTATAACTTCTCCCAATCAAATTTCAACTTTAGGGGAGCCTAGAATGGGATTTTCACACTTTGGAAGCTCATATCTCAAGAACTGTTCGAAATATTGAAATCAAACCTGTTTTATCTTGTGAAGCATCCAATTCTGATTCAGAATCATGAACTTCAAATTCAAATTTATAGAGTAATAAACTTCTCCCAATCAAATTTGAACTTTAGGAGAACCTGGAATGGAATTTCTACACTTTGGAGACTCCATATCTCAAGAACTACTCGAAATATTAAAATTAAACCTGTTTTATCTTGTGAAGCATCCAATTCTGATTCAGAGTCATGAAGTTCAAATTCAAATTTATAGAGTTATAACTTCTCCCAATCAAATTTCAACTTTAGGGGAGCCTAGAATGGGATTTTCACACTTTGGAAGCTCATATCTCAAGAACTGTTCGAAATATTGAAATCAAACCTGTTTTATCTTGTGAAGCATCCAATTCTGATTCAGAATCATGAACTTCAAATTCAAATTTATAGAGTAATAAACTTCTCCCAATCAAATTTGAACTTTAGGAGAACCTGGAATGGAATTTCTACACTTTGGAGACTCCATATCTCAAGAACTACTCGAAATATTGAAATTAAACCTGTTTTATCTTGTGAAGCATCCAATTCTGATTCAGAGTCATGAAGTTCAAATTCAAATTTATAGAGTTATAACTTCTCCCAATCAAATTTCAACTTTAGGGGAGCCTAGAATGGGATTTTCACACTTTGGAAGCTCATATCTCAAGAACTGTTCGAAATATTGAAATCAAACCTGTTTTATCTTGTGAAGCATCCAATTCTGATTCAGAATCATGAACTTCAAATTCAAATTTATAGAGTAATAAACTTCTCCCAATCAAATTTGAACTTTAGGAGAACCTGGAATGGAATTTCTACACTTTGGAGGCTCCATATCTCAAGAACTACTCGAAATATTGAAATTAAACCTGTTTTATCTTGTGAAGCATCCAATTCTGATTCAGAGTCATGAAGTTCAAATTCAAATTTATAGAGTTATAACTTCTCCCAATCAAATTTCAACTTTAGGGGAGCCTAGAATGGGATTTTCACACTTTGGAAGCTCATATCTCAAGAACTGTTCGAAATATTGAAATCAAACCTGTTTTATCTTGTGAAGCATCCAATTCTCATTCAGAATCATGAAGTTCAGATTCAAATTTATAGAGTAATAACTTCTCCCAATCACATTTCAACTTTAGGAGAGCCTGGAATGGGATTTTCACACTTTGGAAGCTCATATCTCAAGAACTGTTCGAAATATTGAAATCAAACCTGTTTTATCTTGTGAAGCATCCAATTCTGATTCAGAATCATGAACTTCAAATTCAAATTTATAGAGTAATAAACTTCTCCCAATCAAATTTGAACTTTAGGAGAACCTGGAATGGAATTTCTACACTTTGGAGACTCCATATCTCAAGAACTACTCGAAATATTGAAATTAAACCTGTTTTATCTTGTGAAGCATCCAATTCTGATTCAGAGTCATGAAGTTCAAATTCAAATTTATAGAGTTATAACTTCTCCCAATCAAATTTCAACTTTAGGGGAGCCTAGAATGGGATTTTCACACTTTGGAAGCTCATATCTCAAGAACTATTCGAAATATTGAAATCAAACCTGTTTTATCTTGTGAAGCATCCAATTCTGATTCAGAATCATGAAGTTCAGATTCAAATTTATAGAGTAATAACTTCTCCCAATCAAATTTAAACTTTAGGAGAACCTGGAATGGAATTTCTACACTTTGGAGGCTCCATATCTCAAGAACTACTCGAAATATTGAAATCAAACCTGTTTTATCTTGTGAAGCATCCAATTCTGATTCAGAGTCATGAAGTTCAAATTCAAATTTATAGAGTAATAACTTCTCCCAATCAAATTTGAACTTTAGGAGAACCTGGAATGGAATTTCTACACTTTGGAGGCTCCATAACTCAAGAACTATTCGAAATATTGAAATCAAACCTGATTTATCTTGTGAAGCATCCAATTCTGATTCAGAGTCATGAAGTTCAAATTCAAATTTATAAAGAAATAACTTCTCCCAATCAAATTTCAACTTTAGGAGATCCTGGAATGGGATTTTCACACTTTGGAAGCTCATATCTCAAGAACTGTTCGAAATATTGAAATCAAACCTGTTTTATCTTGTGAAGCATCCAATTCTGATTCAGAATCATGAAGTTCAGATTCAAATTTATAGAGTAATAACTTCTCCCAATCAAATTTCAACTTCAGGAGAGCCTGGAATGGGATTTTCACACTTTGGAAGCTCATATCTCAAGAACTGTTCGAAATATTGAAATCAAACCTGTTTTATCTTGTGAAGCATCCAATTCTGATTCAGAATCATGAAGTTCAGATTCAAATTTATAGAGTAATAACTTCTCCCAATCAAATTTCAACTTCAGGAGAGCCTGGAATGGGATTTTCACACTTTGGAAGCTCATATCTCAAGAACTGTTCGAAATATTGAAATCAAACCTGTTTTATCTTGTGAAGCATCCAATTCTGATTCAGAATCATGAACTTCAAATTCAAATTTATAGAGTAATAAACTTCTCCCAATCAAATTTGAACTTTAGGAGAACCTGGAATGGAATTTCTACACTTTGGAGGCTCCATATCTCAAGAACTACTCGAAATATTGAAATTAAACCTGTTTTATCTTGTGAAGCATCCAATTCTGATTCAGTCATGAAGTTCAAATTCAAATTTATAGAGTAATAAACTTCTCCCAATCAAATTTGAACTTTAGGAGAACCTGGAATGGAATTTCTACACTTTGGAGACTCCATATCTCAAGAACTACTCGAAATATTGAAATTAAACCTGTTTTATCTTGTGAAGCATCCAATTCTGATTCAGAGTCATGAAGTTCAAATTCAAATTTATAGAGTTATAACTTCTCCCAATCAAATTTCAACTTTAGGGGAGCCTAGAATGGGATTTTCACACTTTGGAAGCTCATATCTCAAGAACTATTCGAAATATTGAAATCAAACCTGTTTTATCTTGTGAAGCATCCAATTCTGATTCAGAATCATGAAGTTCAGATTCAAATTTATAGAGTAATAACTTCTCCCAATCAAATTTAAACTTTAGGAGAACCTGGAATGGAATTTCTACACTTTGGAGGCTCCATATCTCAAGAACTACTCGAAATATTGAAATCAAACCTGTTTTATCTTGTGAAGCATCCAATTCTGATTCAGAGTCATGAAGTTCAAATTCAAATTTATAGAGTAATAACTTCTCCCAATCAAATTTGAACTTTAGGAGAACCTGGAATGGAATTTCTACACTTTGGAGGCTCCATAACTCAAGAACTATTCGAAATATTGAAATCAAACCTGATTTATCTTGTGAAGCATCCAATTCTGATTCAGAGTCATGAAGTTCAAATTCAAATTTATAAAGAAATAACTTCTCCCAATCAAATTTCAACTTTAGGAGAGCCTGGAATGGGATTTTCACACTTTGGAAGCTCATATCTCAAGAACTGTTCGAAATATTGAAATCAAACCTGTTTTATCTTGTGAAGC